ATACAATGTAGGTCCATGTTAATAAGAAGCTGGTTTAAAGTAATGATTTCCTTTTTTTCAGGTGTTCATTCAGTCGAAGGTCAATGAAAGAGAGATGAAACGTCAGCCACAGCAACAACGTTCAGAAGAAATTAACCAGGGAGCTGCTGATTTTTCTGAAGTGTGATTATTAATTATCACACTGGCCAATTGTACTGACTAATAAATCAAACTCAACTTAAAAAACAGGCTTTTCAATAACATCCAAAGTGTAAATTTTTTTCCTTACCTTTGTCAGTGTTTATCATAACTTTGATAAGGTGAATTAAGAAACTAATGAAAAAATGGATTTTTATCCACCTATAAATCAATGCCCACCAGCTAATTTTGTTTTAGGTACAGGGAGCTCACACAAGCAGTTTGTATGACTAGGGTAACCAGCTAAATGTACTCATAATAATTTATTATTCAAGCACAAAATTACAACTATTATGTTAAGGATACCAAACAGTTACACAATCAGTTTATGTGGGTACCCTGTGGTTGGGATGTCCACAGAGCAAAAAGTGTAGCTTCAAACATCACAGTTTTTTGTACAGTTAAAGCTATTTGTCTTTACAGTAATAATCTGAAGACACTAGAAAGAAAAATTTTTATAGTGGTCAAGATTACTGATAAACTGGTGATTAAAGTGGTGCAGTATTTTTTTAAATACATGTAATTCTCTCATTTCCTGAAATGATCTGTCAGTAACATAAGATGCATGCCTGAATATCTCATATTTAATTTTAAGCATCTTTAGTGTATATTGTTCTCTTCTTATTCTTTATAAGCTCTGTAAGTAAATGTTTTTTTACCAGCACTAAATCAGCAGTTTTGCTCAAATAAAGATGGTGCCTACCTGTGGCTTTGTTGCAAATGTACACTATAGTCGCTGATAAAAATTCCTCTACACTTTCTTGATCCCCAAATATATATGTTGGGGTTCAATTTTATGCTTGGTTTAAATTTTGTCTCTCTTTGTTTTGGGGTATGGTAATGTATATAGTAACGAGTTTTTAAACACGTATTTCCAAGGATAAATATGCATTAAAGCCGCAAAGTTGAATCAACATTTGGTAAATGCAGGGTTCTTGAGGATGACAATCTCAATCTCAACATTTGGTAAATGCAGGGTTCTTAAGGATGACAATCTTTGAAAGCTTTATTGATAGCATGTTCATGGACATGTCAAATACAGTACCTACAAGGTTAATTTCCCTACCTGCCACGAGTCTCCTGTAGCTCAGTGGTAGAGCTTCTGGACTAGAAACTGGATAAGGTGGAGGCCCAGTCATCCAGATCCTTAGATAATGGGGGGGGGAGGAGTCTCCCAATTTTTTGGCCCTTCGGCCTCAGTTTGGTCCAGAATTAAAAGGGAGGGCCGGGCCCGCTGGGCCCCTCCCCTGGATCCAACCACTGGCCTGTGCCAGTGCCTGTGTATGAACATCATTCTCAAAATAATATGTATGTTCTTTCTTCCAATAATTGCAGTTAGTACATTTGTTCACAGGAATGCATGTGGAAATCCAGCTGAAGTCAGAATTTTATTTTTGTTTTGTTTTGCTGTTGTTTGTTTGTTTGTCTTTTCAATAGAGCATTTTTACATGATCACAGTCAGGTCATATTGGTGCTGTTTCAAACCAATCCTGTGGGAGTTGACCTTTTTTCCTATGTGACATTTTCTATTGTAACCTACGAAGAGCGTTTCCAATCGAGTTATTGGCCAAAGAAATATAAGGGGGAGGGGCAGGAAACCTCTCCCCTCCCCCGCTTCCTTCATCTCTTTTTTTCCACTCTGGGCAACTTTTTCGATGAACTCGTGCGGAAACTCTTGTTATGTAGGCGATTTCTTTTGTTCCAATAAATTTACAACTGCGACAGTGTCTATATGTTCATTCAATGAATTAGAACCAGGAGCCCATAACCCGGAGCGTCTAACTTCCATACTGCGCCTATGCAAAGGCGTTTTCACAAGAAGGTCTATTTTTAGATGAGCCTTTCCGGCGAATTGCTTTCGAAAAGCCAATCACTAGCAATTGCGTCATCAATGATAAACTTTTAATACGTAACTAGGACAACTCCTTCACATTGAAAAAAACATGGCGGACACACGTGAGGAATCTTCAGAGGAGTCTTCTGACAGTACTTCAAGGGACAATTTCAGTATTTACACGGAAACTAGCAGTTCAGAGCAAGATTTGCAAAACCTAGCCAGGACGTCTACTTCATCGGCGACAACACATAATTCACGCAAAGGGAATTAAATCGAAATCATCTTCGAAATAGCCGACTGTAAAAAGGTCCAAGCGAGCTACTAACAGTCTAAACGACGATCAAATGGAGGAACTGACCTCGTGGAACAGTTATTTTTCGCGGGAAAAGCTTATCTAAAAATAAACTCACTTGTAAAAACGCCGTTGCACGAATTTATGCCATGGGGCAATGCTAATTTCCCCCTCTCCCTCCTATCCCCCGCTGCCATCGTACAATTCTTTGCGACCTTTGTAAAATCTGCCTCTGTCATGAAATTTCGCATTTTCACTAGAAATTGAAACTTGAAATGATAAATTAATCTGTGAAAATAGACCTAGTCATGGTTTTTGACGCCATCTTGACGAGCAGGCAAACGTGTGAGAAATTACAATGTTAGTATGAGAATCTAATGTCGAATAATTTCCGTAAAACGGCTGTTCTTTAGATTTTCTATAAACTTTGTTTGTCTGTAATTTATTCCCCACAGGAAAAAATAACGGATTCCCATTTTTGGATATTTTTGGGTATTTAAAGAATACCCACAAAAATCCCAAATTTGGAAGAGTGAGACAAGTCCCAATCTGGGAACTTGGTTGGGAATTCCCTGGTTGGGACTTGTCTCACTTTGCCAAATTTGGGATTTTTATGGGTATTCTTGAAATACCCAAAAATATCCAAAAATGGGAATCCGTTATTTTTTCCTGTGCCCGGACTCTCTTACAGAGAAATGTATAGAAAGTGCATGTAACGCCCTCAATCTTTAGGAGCGAAGCTTTAGTTTGCAATTCAGAACAGTCGCTCTACGGAAATTATTAGACATTAGATTCTCATACAAACACTGTAATTTCTCACGCGTTTGCCTACTCGTCAAGATAGAGTCGAAAACCGTGACAATCAAAATAAAATTTTATGTGTTCCTTTCCTCTTATCAAGGCGCGGCGCAAGGGGTCATGGGAATTTTTATGCTGAAAGGAGCGCGGGACAAAAGGATTGTGGTTTCAAATATGTCGGGCGAAGACAAATCCTGACAAAGTTCCTTGATATTCGTAAGTTTTTTTTCTAAAAAACGATTAATGGGCAATTTAATGACCACTTTTTTGGTCTTCTAACTTTGGTTATGCCGTGTCGTTTCATGAAATAACATCGGCTCACTTCCGGGTAAATATCAGGTGCGTTCATACAGAATGAAGCGATGAAGGCCCAGGTTAAAGATGCCCACAACACGAAGCCAAGCAACTCCGAACACTCGTTCCACTAGGAGGGCAGTTGTAACTCGTGGAATTCAAGGCCCTACCCGTGTTAAGAAAAGGAAAGTAACATCAAAGCCGTCAAGCTCAAAGTCAACCAACAGTACAACGGCAGCACAACAACCGGATAATTGGAAAACAAAATTATCTTCTTCACTTTGGAAGTTAGCTGAAAAATATCCTCCGTGGCTGACAATTGTCTTGGAGCCAATCAAGAGCAAATACCCAAATACCGTTTCCCTCATTGTTGCACTGACATTAGTGGTATTTGTATTATCTTTGGCTGGCACGATCGTAGCGCCAGCAACTCAACTTTGGCAGATTCTGTTTCCGGCTGAGTTGCCACGCATTTATTACAACGAGGTTTCATGGCCTCCAAGACATCGCTGGATATGGCGCCTGGAAGAAGTTTTCAACGTGACGAGAGAAATAAGGAGATTGTCAAAAGATCATGATAGAAAACAAATTCATGTGTACTTGACCGGCGGACCTGGCTCGGGTAAATCAGAGCTTGCTAGACAAGTTGGTCGTCGTTTGTTCGAATCAATGAAGCAAAACAAAAGACCGGTGGACGTTATTACCATTGATGCAGCTAGCGTTACTTCTCTTTTGTCAAGTCTGACAGATGCGGTTAGGCTCTTTGTAGTCATTCCGGGAAAAGGGCGGATGGCATTAAGCAATTAAAAGAAGAATTAAATTTCAAATTCGGTGACTTGTTTTCAAACGAAGGTGTACAAAAAACCGACATCAAACTCTCTATCCTTTTTACTAAACTCAAAGAGCTACTAGAGGAGAGAAACAGCCAGCCTGTTCTGATTTTTGACAACGTACAAGATTTGAAATTGTTATTGAGCAACCTCAACCTCGAACCCGGAAGTAGTCATTTCGCCACATTTGTTGTCATCATTACTGTACAAAAACGTGTGTCTTTAGAAAGGCTGAGCGATTACGTGTATGTACAGGATCTTTATGAAGGCATGTTACCAACTGACTCTGTCAAACTACTCGAATCGATAACCGGGCTGGAAGAGGATAGCGAAAACCATGCCAATGAACTTTCATACATTCTTGGACACCAGCCTCTAGCACTATCAACAGCAGCTATCTACATCGAAAGTGTGCGCGAAGGTCCACCAAAGCGTGCAGACTATGGATATCCGGATTACATATCTGAGTTTAAAAGAGATATTACCTCTCTTGGAATGGAAGAAGAAATTGAGTGGCGAGAAAGTGACGCTTCGAAATATTCAATTCCAATGTACACGGCAGTTCTCAAAGCTGTGAATCTTAGCGCGCAAAATGACCCCGTGATTCGAGACCTCGCTTGTATTGGTTACACCGACACCTCCCCACTTAGTTTGGCATATGTGTTGGATTTTTTGAAAAAGAATTCCTACCAGCACTTCACAGAAGCTCAAATTCGGAACTCTCTGAGAAACGTGCTCTTTAAGGTGGCAGGCAAAGAAGGAAAGCAAACCCTCTCTAGCCATCAAGTGATTCGTGAAGCTTTTCGACAGGTCTGCAAGGTAAGTAGCAAAAACCAAGACTGCCTTAACTCGACATTTTGTAATCTGACTGCCGTTGCCCCTTCAAGCAATCCTGAAAGCCGTGTCTTACTACTGGGCATTTTCTCAAGGCTCGCCTTATCTCTTGAACACCAGCTGAACGCAACCATCTCAAATGTATACAACACTACCTTGACAGACCCTAACAGCTCTTTTGGTTCTCAATGTCTAGAAATTTTGACCTCGATGTGTGTCTTTTCTACGAAGGAACGCTTACAAGTAACCGATGTCATGTCAACCATTTTTACAGATACGTTTTTACGATTTATCTCGCACAGTTCAGGATTCTCCGGGCCTGCCATAATAAAACCAGTAACAAACGTGTTCAGACTCAACGAAGTTGTAAATCTGACAAACTTGCAGGCAATCAGAGGTGACCGGTATGATTTGCAAATAGTGCTCCTGGTAGTATGTTTACACAGCGGAGCAACAAGGTCAAAAAATGAAGATCTCATGAGGGCACTAAATACAACTTCCACTGGGATACTAAAATTGGTGCCCAATACAGATAAAAGTAGAGACACGTCAGTTACATTAAACCTTCTAGGGTCTATGTATCGAACTTTAGGCTATCCCTACAAGTCAAAAGATCTTCATGAACTTGCATTGGATGTTAATCGTAAAAGTGGGGGGCAAAATTACAACCTCTTGAAAGACAACGCAAGTAAAGGCCAAATAGAGCAAAAGGAATCTGTCCTTGAAAGAGCTACAACTTTTCAAAAACTTGGTGTTATATATCGATATCTCGCCAATTTAAGCCTCGCACAAGCATACCACGAGGGCTCACTTAAATTACTGCAAACATTACTGAGCCCGAATCATCCCTACATCGCAGGGTCTCTTCTCAACTTGGCAGTAGTGTACAGTCGTCAAGGGAAGCATAGTGAGGCTCTGCAACTATATAATCAGTCACTGGCAATATTGCAGCAAACATATGGCCCACGGCATGCTTCTGTAGGCAGGGTCCTCAACACAATGGGGCAAAGCAAATGGGGCAAGCAAACCTGGGGTGATGATCACACCTCTGTTCCAACGACATTGAACAGTCTAGGTGCAGCTTATTGTGCGCTGAGACAGCCCCAACAGGCAGCGCACCTACACATGAAAGCCCTTGAGACTCTCCTGAGAATGGACAAAGGGAATGCTAGGGATCACCTTTTGGCAGAGACTAGACATCTCCTCGGTAATGCTTTTCTCGCCATAGGAAATTTTAGTGATGCTAGGCTCATGTATGATTTATCGCATTCTGGTTTTCGTAGCCTATATAAACCGGACCACTGGAGAGTCAAAGGTGTTCTGAAGAGTCTGAACTCCGTAGACTCTGTATTGAACAAGTCTCCCTCCATTGGGGCTTTATTTGTTGTGGTCGGTGTAAGTACACTCATTGCTTCAATGAACGCTTTCTACGATTACAGTTTAACCTCTCTACAACGGCCACTTTGGGGGCAGAACAAAGTGGCCGTTGTAAAGAGGTTTTAAAAAAGAGTCAATGTATGTGTTTTTTGTCCGCCGGGACGAAAAAAGTGGCCGTTCTTTAGCGGTGGTTCGACTGTACCCTTCATTCAAAATAATTTTGTCTCGAGTGGGCTCAATATAGCGCAAGAAAGCTGACCAACTTTGAAAATGCCCTGATACTAGAGACATAAGCAATTTTTTTTAAATTTGCTTAATGACACGTCGGTAGATTGCGCAAAGAAAAAAGACTGTAGTGAGCGTTAACCTACTTTGTCATCTATAAACACTCACAAACGCCCCTGATGATGGTTAGAATTATTTGACCCAATTGTTCAGGGACACCCAACGGGAAATTTTGAGAAAAAGACCTAAAAACAACAACAAAGCGTGAATAAAGTTTTATGAGACTATTTTAAGCATTTTGGGAGATTGCTGGAAAAAAAATTATCTGTGCCTCACTCCCAGCAAGACTGATGGAAGAGTTCCCAGCCAGCAACCTTACAACCTGCAACCTGACTTACTGGGAAGTTTCATAGGGCCAATTCAGATCTTGAGTGGTAAGTAACCCATACAAGTAACCCGTAGCAGCTATTCTAGACTTCAAATCCCCTCTGACACCCTGAATTATCTTTTTCCCAGCAACACTTTCCTTCCAAGGACTATTATTTCTCTCACATCTCCCAGCCAGCAAAAATGTGCCTGAAGAACAGATATTTTGAGGAACAGATCCATTGGGTGCCCCTGATTGTTTGGCAATAGAATTACCCCATGTCCAATCCCCGATCAGCTGAAGTTTAATTTAGTTTGACCTCACTGAATACGAGGTTAAACCTACAGTTTAAAGAAAAATGCCATGTCTTTTTAGGAAAAGCTTTGTTTCTAGTATATTGTTATTTATATTTTTTATTCCTGGTCTAGCAAACGCGGGTACACGATTGTGTACTAGCTGTGTACTTGATATTTAAATAAAGCCTATTTCATATATTGTATCACGCTCTTTCAGTATTCTAACAAGACAATAATTATGAATAATTATGTTTACGCGTTTAATGTATGCCACCCTAGCTGGTGGACCAAAAATCACTATACGTTTGTAGCATAACAATTCAGGCGATAGAATGAAGTCAAACGATGTGCTGAACGAAACGAAAGACTTGACGACTGTCAGTATTAGGATCCTAAATCAGTTTTGGATCCGACACTCCACTCAAGAAAAACTGTGCAGTTCGGAACTTTGAAAACAAAGATTTTTGGTTTCTTTTTGGCTACTCGGAATTGAAAAGTACGCGACTGCACCTGAAGGACCCTTAGCTAGCCAATCAGCGCCCACGAAAAACACTATTCACTTGTGTGATATATAATTTAAGTTACATCATGTTCATCCTACGTGCTACTATAACGAAGAGGGCTGAACAAAGTTAACTTCTGGTGACTGTATCAGGAATTGTTCCTATTCTGCTTACACGATCTGCCTGAAATATTAGGGGTTAGTACGGGTTGTAATAAAAGTTTTTCCGTGAAGCCTAATTGTGTTATAACTTTTACGTGAACGTGAAAAATATTTGTCACGACTCTTTTTCGTGACCCGTGAAACGAGCTGATATTCTTTGTGTGTGGAATTTTGCAAAGAAGCGCAGTTCTATTAAATTAGTTGTTAGGGGGTATTCTAGTTATTATATTTATTCGTTACTGCTTGGTAGTCACCTTTGCTCAGTTTTTACCGTTGTCACAATTAAGAATGTGCTCATAACAGGATAATTTCTCCTCTGTTCAATACATAACCGAAGCAACGACCGTTGAATCTGTTCTTATGTTCGTTACTGAAAAGCTCAAGCATTCAGCCGACTGTAGATATTAAAGAAAATCGATGCAAACTTAAATTTTTTTTTTGAAGCACCGGTCAAGAGTAAATTAACTGATAGCTTGCCCAACAGAGAAGGTGCTATTTAAAACATCGGGAAGCAAGCCCCCACCCCCTGGGAAATTGTCTCCTTTTGGAACAAATCAATCAATCATGTCCGTAACACTCGTATATAAATAAATGTGTAAATGATCTAATCTACGCTCACTCTGCGCGGTTAAGTTTGTATTAAACGCCCTTCTCCAATAAACGCTTCCCGTGAAAATTGCTCCAAACTACTAAAAAATGGCAAAATAGAGCAAAATCAATCAATTTATTAATTTCATTGCTTGATTAACATCGGTTTTTGTTTTATGTCATGTTAATGATTTCAAGTTCAAAGTAAGGATAGCGTTGTGACCTTCTTGATCTCGGTGCGCACTCGTAAAAGCACCCTTTTGATTGTAGCAAAAGAGGAAAAAATAAATAGAAACCTTGGAGTGCAAAAGTCGTCAGCCCGCAGTCGAGATTCTGTTAACACAGACGTTTTTCGCCGAAAGCGTATTGTATACAGTTTTGTTGAGGTCGTTAAAATGAGTTACGAGAATAAACGCCTCTCCCTTTTAAACGCCTTCCATCTTTTAAACGCCCCCTCTTGGACCCCTAAACTTTAATAAACGCCCCGGGCGTTTAATAGATCATTTACGGTATCTATTATAATTCTATGGGCAGAACCGTACTGCTTTATTTGCGTTGAACCCTTTCCAGTGTACTGACATCTTTCTTAACGGGTCCCAAGCCGCACTTGCGTATTCTAGTTGTGGCGTACCAGGGGTGTATATACTATTTCTCTCACCTTCCTGGGAAAATTCCAAAGGTTACGCTGTATTATTCCCAATGATTCGTTTGCTTTCGCTGCTGTCATGGAAACATAGGCTAACCACTTGAGCTTGTTACTGATGGTAACCCCAAGGTATGGGAAACTATCCACCTGTTCCAACTCTACACCACAGAAGACATATTTTCTCTGTGGCGGATTGTTCTTATGTGAGATGGTAGGATTAAACTCCATTTGCCAATGACGAGCAGCAAAAAAACATGCTGGTTGACAAAATCTCTCGAAAAAAATGAATAAATTTTAAAACAAAGGTCCGCGAATACGTTGCATTCCTCACGGGAGGTAAGGACTGGCCCAATGTAAATCGACCTATTAAGAACCCGCTGGTTCTGATACAAGTTTTGAGAATATAACCCTATGCCTTGATCAACTACCGCTTAAAATTCAGTTTACAAAGGAAAAGAGAACACTGAAAACCCTGGTTCTGAGTCGAGAAGTGAACAAACTACCTCAATATAAATCGAGCTGCAAAGAACAAGCTAGTTTTGACAAAAATTTGAGCGTAAAACCCTATTCCTTGATCAGCTGCTGCTTTAAACACATTTATAAAGCAAACCAGAGCACTAATTGCCCTTTCAAACTAGAAATTCGTATTAAAGCTTGCTCACCAGTTAGGTCCTCTTGAACAGACAAGGAACAGCTGCACACGGAATCACCCAATCTTGAACCAGGAGTTGTAAATACAAGACCATGACGTCACTACCCAAACATGGGCAAATTTTAGAGGGCTACGCAGAATTTGAGAGTTTTTGCCTACGTTGCGCGGCGTTATAATTCTGCCGCCGAGTCAACCTCGCTTCTTAGCTCGGTTGCCTCGTTGGCGATAAGAAGAAGCTAGAAGAGTAATTGGGCCGAGGACTGTACCCTGGGGTACGCCAGAAGTCACCGGACATTGACTTGATGTTTGGCCTTCACACACACAAGGATTGAAAACGTTGTGTAAGAAACGACTCTAACCAATTTACGAACGGACCTTGGATTCTTTAGTGCTACAGCTTCATTACAAGTTGCCTATGAACCTTGGCAAAGTCCAAAACGACCGCATGGATAGATGAGTTTTTAATGGCCTTTGCCATGTCGTGTAAGGTGAGAATTAGCTGCATCTTTGTGGATCTCTTTGCCCTAAAACCATGATGACAGTCTGTTAAGATGTTATAGTTGTTTAGATGTTTCGTAATGAAGCTGTGGACAATATGCTCGAGAATCTTCGATGCAACACAAGTGAAAGATATAGGCCTATAGTTGGCTGGGTCAGATTTCTAACATTCCTTTCTTAAAAACTGCACACATATTAGCCTCTTTCCACCTGCGGGGACAGTGCCACTGTCTATCGAGTCCTGAAAGATGTCTGTTAGTATTGCAGCAATTTCTGCGGCATAATCTTTGAGAAACCAGGATGGAATCTGCTCTGGGCCAAAGGCTTTGATAGGGTTTAAGGAAGACAGCTGTTTCAAGACTCCATGTTCTGAAATAATTAGTCAAGCATGAGAAAAACTAACATCAAAGCCAGGACTCGGGCCAGGAATTCAAGCCAGGACTCGAGCCAAGACTCCAGTTAGGCCCTTTCTAATTTTTCTGTAAGCAAAATATTAATAAACAAAAATAATAAATAGATAAACATAACCCTAACCGTGACCCTGACCCTGTCTTTAACCTTAACCCTTACCTTCCATGATTGCCACGAAAACCCTCCTCTTAATGGTAATGTGACTTGCAGGAGGTGGAAATGGAGGAAAAGCGAAAAATTGTCGAGTCGTGGCTCAAATACTGGCTCGGTATAACTAGACATCCTCGTCAAGCATACGCGATGAAAAAAATTCAGATATGAACGCGAAGTTATGAACCCTTTCATTACTCGCTGGGATGAACCGTTGGAAGGAAAAAAGAAACGTGTGGTTTCTATCTGTTTGCATGGACTAAACAGCTATAGGGCGGGTCGATCTCCGGCCGAGCTTCTATTCGTACCTTGATTCGTACTGTCCAGATAGGTAAACAAGGACAAGGGAAAATAGTTTCGAAAAACTAGTTAGGCTGTTCGCCAGAACGTGCACAGGAATGCAAAGACTTAATTTAAAACGCCCCCCCCCCCCCCCCCCCCCTCGTGTTATATTTATATCCCCCCCTGATTTTATACAAAAAACAAATAAAAGAAGAACAAAACGGGGCGGCCACCCAAAGACAAAAANAGACTTTGGTAATACTTATAATGCCCCAGTTTATTAAGGACACGAATATAAGAATTGGACAAGCTTGGAGCGCACTCAACAAAATGATGAAAGTGTGGAAATCAGACCTAAAAAAACATCTCAAAGAAGATTTCTTTCGGGCCACAGTTGAAAGTGTACTGCTTTGTGGTGCTGAATGCTGGACGATGACTGGAAAGATGAGGAATAGACTAGATGGTACGTATACAAGAATGCGCAGAGCAGTTCTTGGAGTTTCCTGGAAGGAGCGTAAAACCGACAAAGAACTGTACGGCAACCTTCCTAAGATTACAGAAACACTGATGATCAGGAGGCTTCGGTTTATAGGACACTGTTTGAGAAGAAAGGATGAGGTGATAAGTGAACTACTACTCTGGGAACCAAAGCATGGCGCAAGAAAGAGAGGAAGACCAGCAACAACATATGTAGACCAGCTGCGAAATGATACTGGTTTGAGCATTGATGAACTGACGAGCATCATGGGAAACCGGAAGGAATGGATGGAGCTAGTTAATGGAGTTTGAGTTCACTAGAAATAAGCAAGCAAAAAAGCAAGTTTATTAAGGTGAACACCATCACCAGCGAAATATCTCTGCGAACTATATTCAAAAACTCTCTGTGACTCCAAAAAAAGCAATAGGGAATTGGCTCTAAAAGCACTATCACGTAAGGGCTTTAACACGTGCGTTAAAGGCAGCATCATTTTCGCGATTAAGCGTTTGGCAAACACAAATTTGCTGCCCATTGTGCTCGTTGTACAAAACACCTACTAAGACCTCTATTGCCGAGGCTACGACTAAGGGATCTAGGTGGAAAAGATCATTAGTTCCCAACCGTAGTATAACAATATGGAGGGCAAACGACTCCACCACGTGGAGATCACAGCGAATAGTTTTTCCAACTGTTCGACCCCTTACACCATGCCATTTAAACTGGGCAGCATCGTGGAAAAGAAGACGATGATCAAGATGTCGACTATCAATAATGAAGCTATTTTAACAGTGGATAAAATAGTGCCCGGGAATCAACACACGAGGCTCCCCCATTTCAGAGAATGGGGTTAAAAGATAGGCGTAAAACGGCCAAAAATTTAGTCGATAGCCGTAAAAATTGAAAAATTTTAACTGTTAGCCGTAAATAGGGTAAAAAAGAGTTGAAATTGTTCTCTAGATTTGCTACTTTTAAGGAAGGTACTAAACTCACTTATGACACTTATGGTTGCTTTTTTTATTTCCCGGCTACTTTGACTCTGTACGCACGTTAGGCCAAGCGCCTTTTAGGTGCTGACCAAGACCTAGGCTCCACTTCCGCCGCCCTCTCGGCGAACTAATTTTCTTCCATAGCGAAAGTGTACCTTCTTGCTGGGAATTCATCTTTGCGATTTTCAGGAGGTCGCGCCCTCGAAACACTAGTGAAACAACACGCCGTAAACACTTTGCCGATAAACAACATTTCCCTGTTTTTCTCTGACACTACGGTAGACATTGCCATGCCTACTCCCTGTATGGCGTCTTCCCACGACATCTCGATCAAGGCATTTCGGTGGCGAACTCGCTCGGACCACGTGACCCGAAATGCATTAGTCGCGCTATCGTTAAAAACACTGGACACGCGAATTTTGTTATCGGCCGTTTTCACACTAGAGCTAGAAATGGATTATCCGTCTGAGACTAGCCTGTGTACAGTCGCCTCCTTCCCGACAGACACCTCTTCTCCGATTTTTTCTGAGGGGAGTGGGTGGCCGTACACAGGCTATCTGGAACGGATAATCCATCTTCAAACTGTCCGTCGAAATTGACGGATAAAGTCAGGCGGATTGTTCGTGATTCAAAATTCAAACTATTCCATTTTCAAATTAAGACGTATTACCTATCTTACGCGAATGATCAAACGGATAACCCGTCTCACACGAATAATCCGTCTCTAGCGTGAAAACGGCCATTTCTGTTGTAATGAATGTCGCGCCCCGGTCTTCAGTTGGGCGTTCGCGTGTGCTTTGCTTTTTCACAAAGATTATTTTTAAAATGACTATTGACATTTCTATGTGTAAAATAATATTAGAAGTGGGAAACTTTATAAAAAGTATAACCTATCAAATGTTAAAATTTTTCAAAAGAATAGCTTACTTCATCCCGAGATGAACCTGAGACCTTTATTTTGTTTACAGATACAAAAAATACAGGTTTAATATTTAACTTTTTGAAACAAAAGAAGTTAAATTTTACTTTTTTGTTAACCGTAACTGAAAAAAATTAACCGATAGCCGTAAAAGAGCCAAAATTTTAGCCGATCATGACCGTAAAAGCCACCACCCCATTGAGACCCTCATTTCACTTATGTCAAAAAAAAAGAATATGGAATGTACGAAAAAATGGCAGGCGTGAAAAAGCTAAGTCGGTTTCAGAGAGTGTTATAGAGATGTTACAAAAAAAATAGGACTTGCCTGATAAGAAAAAGATTTCACGCAGAGATGTAATCGCCGTGATGGTGAAAACAAGAGGGAACGAACGGGCTTCCACTTCTAAGACATGCTAAGACAAAGACAAGTCTTGTCTTTCCCTTAGCAGGGGAGCACCAAAATAGCGCTAACTGGCTAAAAACGGTTCAAAACGGCCTGAGACGCGGGCAAACAACAAAGAATACAACAAGGCAATAAGGTAAGTCTATTTTATTTAAAAACATAACATTTTTTCTCTCTTTTAAGAAAAACCGTTTACATTCCATATAAGGCTTTGTAAATAACCGTTTGTAACACAACGCCGCTCGCAAGCCAGAGTCACCAGCCACGTCCTGCCACGTCCGCGTTCCTGTAGTGAGCTTGGGCGGCCTGTGTTCACACGTGGTCAATTGAAAGAACGTTGGGTTAGCATCTTACATGAAATACTGACCGAACGTCGACTCAGGGATAAGTTCATAAAGTTATTTCAGAGCCAAGCTGGAGAATTCATGCCAGTAACTCGAAGCCAAGCAATTTACAACACTCGTTCCACCGGTAGAGCAACTCTACGAGATGGCATTCAACAGAAAAAGGGCAAAAATGTTGCATCAAATTCCAATTCAAGGAAAAGGCCGACTTCAGCACAACTTGACGACCACTGGGTAAAAAAACTGTCATTAAAAATACGCAGAAGAACATTTCGTTCGCTCGTCAATGAACACTTTCCTTGGGGAAGGGACATCTTGCGGCGGTTCAGAAGAACCCATCCAGGTGTCGACGTTATTGTGACAGTGATAGTAATAATCTACATTGTGTACATTGTGCACGATCACCCCTTGTATAGTGCATTCTGTTCGATCATGTCCTTCGCAAATCAAATTTGGCAGAGAGTGTTTCCGGCTGAGTTACCAGGGATTTATCATAACAATGTTTTGCAGCCTCCAAAACATCCCTGGATACAGCGTGAAAAGGAAGTTTCCATATTGGGAGAGCAAATAAAGAGGTTGTGTGAAGATCACGATAAAAAAGTGATACATGTGCGTTTGACTGGCAGGCCAGGCTCAGGTAAATCTGAATTTGCTAGGCAAGTAGTACTTCATCTTAATGAATCACAGAAACATAACAAGAGACCTATGGCCTTCATTGCCATTCAAGCAGATAATGCTGACCATGTTTTGTCAAGTCTCAGGAATGCAGTCTTCGCAGTCAACAGGATGAAGAGTGGAAAGGCAGAAGACATTGTGAAGGAACTGAGCCCCAGACTAAATTTTGAGAAGATGTTAGTGCTAAAGGAAGCTAATGTCCAAAAACATCAGATAAAGGTTCTTTATGATAAACTGGATGAACTACTGGAAGACATGCTTCCTGTTTTGATTTTTGACAATGTAAAAGATTTGGAATTTCTCAACGACCTTAACCTCACACCTGGAAATGATCATATTGCAACTGCAGTTGTTGTCATCATTACTCTGCAAAATCATGTGTCCTTAGAAAGACTGCCGAGTGATTATGTGCATGTACAGGACCTTAATCAAGGTATGTCTCCAAATGACTCGGTCAAATTGCTTGAACTGATAGCTGGGACAGAAGTGGATGATAAAGACTATCTGTATGAACTTGCAGATTTCTTTGATCACCAGCCACATAAGCTATCAAATATTAGCCCCAACATAATCAAAGAGAGGCTTTTGGTCCATTTTCATTATGAGGGTTTAAGTCAGACTAGACTCGTTTATGTTAAGGTTTGGTGTATTCTTCCGTCGAAAAGAGAATGGGATCTTCTACATGTAAGCATGCTGGAAATTGTCGGGTGCGAGTGGGGGTTAACGGCTCTGGAAATCCAGACGGGAAAGGGGCTCTCAACCTAAAAATACATCCTCTGGGGTAACTTTCAATTTCATCGATGTTTCAATCGCTTTAATCGAGAAGTTTTCCAAAAATTGCTTTGCCCTTTCAAATTTTATTATTCTTTCAAACTACTGACCTCTTACTTCATTTATTTTAAGTTTCCATCCACAGGCTCGCCCTTGTTTATACTTTTGTAGAAGCGACGTGCGATAACTTGAAGATATCAAGAAAAATTGCATAATTCATGAAAAAGCACTCAGTTCAAGTAAAGCAAACAATTATTTTACCTTGAATTAAACATTTTTCCAAGGTCAATGCTATTTCTGGTTGATTACTACTAAAAACATCTTGCAAGAAAGCGTGGTTGTTCGTGATCAAGGCAAGTGTTGTGGCAAGCAGTATTGCGCGTCTTGTAATATCCCCCTACCGTATATGATCTTTGAAACGCCCGGGGCATTAATTAAATTTTGCGGTTCCAAGATGGAGCGTTTGATAGATGGGAGGCGTTTATTCTTGTAACTTTTAATACAATGTGCTTTCGGCCAAAAACGTTTGTGTGTTAACAGAATCTCGACTCCAGGCTGACGGCTTTTGCACTCCAACATCTCTTATTTTGGTTTTTTTTCTTTTTTGCTACAATCAAGAGGGTACTTTAATTAGTGCGCACCGAGATCAAGAAGATCAAAGAGCACTATCCTTACTTTGAACTTGAAATTGAACATGACATAATTACACAAACCGATGTTAATCAAACAATGAAATTAATAAATTGATTGATTGTGGATTTTGCTTTATCTTGCCATTTCCTAGTATTTTGGAGCAATTTTCAAGGGGGTGGGGGGCGTTTATTAGACAGGGGACATTTATTAGACAGGGGCGTTTAATACGAACTTAACAGCGTAGAGAGAACGTTTATTAGATAAGAGGCGTTTATTTGGGAGTGGGCGTTTATTAGATCATTTACGGTAAGTGTCATTTTTTATCGACAAAGAAGAGAACCATTTATTCCAAAAAATAGTTAGTTTTGAGCTTTATTGTGGTTTATATTGCTGTATATTTTGCCTGTTCTAGAAAAAAAGAGAAGTTCACTCAAATATGAGCTTATTTGCAAAAAGTGTAAGCCTGTTTAAGAAGATGTGGAAATGTAATCTTAACTTTCACAACAAACACAGAATTCATGGAAAACTGAGACTTATTTAATAAAAAGATCACCTAAGTGCCTAAAGGATTCTTCTACATTGAGTGTAAATTAAAATTATGGTGTCTAACAGTTTTATGGAAATCCCAATGGGTGGGGGGTCTTTGAACTTGGAAATCCTGAGGGGAGGGGGGCTCAAGCAGTTTTGGAAATCCAGGTGAAAGGTGGGGGGGCAAAAAACTGTGCCTTCCGTTGCTGGGGTGTGGATTTTTTTCTGGAATAACCCAATGTTTGCCTAGTCCTTCTCTAATTATGAAATTTGAAGAAAATCCTTTCTCTGAATTAAAGTGCCATGGTTTGTACAACAGTTTTAGTAGTCGTCTTGAATAGTCCTAGGATCCGTTTTATAGCTCCTTGAAAAGTACTTGATTTCTTTATTAGGTCTTAAAATGTCCTTGAAATTCACAACCTTGTCTATGCCAGAAATCATTTTCTGTAAAATTAGATTATTTTGCCAAGGAAAATTTGGCTCATCCTCTGTGTAAGAACATGTAAAACTCACAGGTAATGTAAAAACATTTTTGTGCATAAACAATATTTTATTTCTGTTTCTTTATTTCAATTGCTATTTTGTACCTCAGATGCAATTGCTGCATACCCAGTCATTTTGAAAGTCTTGTTGCAGAAAGTAGTATAAAATAATGTGATCAATGATGGTCCAATAATAAAAATTGTAAATGACTTCATGACGTGGGTGATCAAAAGGAGGTTAAAGAATGCCGATTTATTAGATAAATCTTAGTCCTTGAAAACTGTAATTTGTTCTTGCAAAATCCTTGAAAAGTCTTTGAAATTTGTTTGTCTGACGTTGTACAAATCATGGAGTGCATTTGTAGATGGTTCCCAACAAATGATTTTTATGGAAAAAAGTAAGATATCCTTGTCACCTGAGGGCAAAAGTTATGTGCCAGGAGTCACTGAGTACTGCTGTAGCACTGCCCTCAGGGCCTTTTTTGGAGGTGCTGACACTTCTTTGAAATTATTAAACTGTTGTTAAATCTTTCCCTTACGTATGTTAGGGCTCAAATTGCCTGTTACGAATTAAAAGGAGATTTGAGCCCCGAAATGCTTAAGGAAATAATATTTCATGACAGGTTGTAAATTTCAAAATTTACAAGGATTTGTATGGAAACCAGTTAAGTGTGACTGGTGGCTAGAGTTGTTTTCTCATACAAGTCCCTCTTATTTTCATTGCAATCGCTACTTTTGAGATATACGGCTGAAAATTTACAGGTTACCTTATTTCAATATGCTCTTTTAGCTTGTGCTAACAAAATTTTTCAAAAGCAAACTGTTTTTGTGTTTGCCGAAACTTGATCACATGATCAACTACTGCAAAAGGCCTATAACGAAAAGCTCACTCAACAAAGAAAAAACTAAATGGCCTGGACACAAAAATATTCATGCTTTGGAATTGTCTAGGTCATATAAGAAATAGCCTGTTTTTTGTTTTTGATCTGTGAGCCTCAATGAGTTGTCAGTCAGTTAAGTTAAGTGTGATTAATATATTAGAGGGCTTAAGCATCAAAATAAATAAAGTTATTACAGTTAAGCACTGACTACAGATATAAAGTGGTTAGGGGATTACACTATTCTGACTTAAAATGATCAGCATTAATATAAGCTTAAGGTATATTTGTCACTATATTGTACATGTACTGTATGTATTCAGTGGCAGATCCAGGGAAGGGGCCTGAACCCTGGGGGGAGGGGGGGTACTCCCATACATTACCTATACGGGTATGTGCCGCCCAAAGGGGTCGTGATTTTGAAGCTCCTGATTTAGAACGGGGTATCCATTTCAGAGGCGTTTTCTAGAATGGGGTATAATATTTCGAATGCATGAAAGCTCCACTTTTGTAAGCAGCCATTTGAAATTATTGAAGGACAGATTGCTTGTAAAAATACGGTTCAATGCGTTAACAAGCAAACCGTTGTACTCTTGTCGCACCCTAGAACGGTGTATAAAAAATTGGCCCATTTCTAGAACGGGGTATCAGTTTTAGGGGATATTTTTTTTAGAACAGGGTGCCAATTTGGAGTCCCGGGCGGCACATACCTACCCAAAAAATACCTACCCAAGTGCCCCCCCCCCCGGGGGGCCTGAATCTGAGGTTCTGAATCCGCCACTGGTATTTAATATCAAAGCGGTTATGTAAGCTGCAAATCTGTGAGATTTGAACATTTTAATATTTTTTAGCTGACTGATGACTCACTGACTCGTAAATGATATGCTCTCGGATTGTTAAGTAGCCTCCTTGCATTATTCTCCCAGTAAGAGATACATGTCTGTTAACAGGCTTATTACACTCGAATAAAAAACAAAAAAAAGAAGAAAAAAGAAGTGGGTTCGAAAGTGACCAAATACCGGTAAATAAACAGTAAGGTAATAAATAGTAAAAAACACTATAAGGAAATAATATTTTAAATGTACATTGATACTACTGTAACCCTAATGGCTGTTACTTATATTTGTATAATTGATTGATACCTCAGTTAAAAGGAAGCTTTAAACCACAATAGGCCCAAGCTCAAGCTGTGAGTTGTTGGTCTGGCGATCATAGTGAAATAAAAGAGTTTGTATGCCGGGGGTATTATTTTACATAAGGCGTGGTATGAAATATACATAGGCTGGTCCAATGCAGAGTAGTGCCAAGTTAGAGTAAACACAGAGGAATCTTGTTTACTGTGGGTAATGTCGACCGAGATATCGGTCGATATAGCGGTCGATATAGCGGTCGACACTCGGTCGATAGTCGGTTGACACTCGGTCTAGTTTGTTTATTGGGTTTTTGGTTGAGAAATACGTCGCTTTGGCAAAGTCGGAAATCCGATTTCGGATGCCATCGTTTTTCGTTTTTCACCTTGCTTGATGCGAAAGACGGTTGAAAAGTCTGAAGCGATTCTGGCCTTACTTGATAGTTTTCAGTGCATCTCGAATGGTAAGCCTGAGTAATTATTGTATTTGATGTTTGTTTTTTATATCTAATTACCGGGGCCAAGCCGAAGGCTGGCACCGGTCATAAAATGCAACATGTTTCTGTGTTTTCAAAGTTACATTGTTAGGGATATATCGCTGACTGAGATATATCGCTGGCTCGTTACTTTTGAGAGTGTTCACTGAGATCTATCGCTGGTTCAGAAATTTGAAGTAGGGGGCATCAACTGAAACCATGCAAATATTAATTCGATTAGTTTGCACACGGAATGGTTTAATGCGACTATATTTACCACTTATCAATAAATGAGATCCCTGTCTATTGCAAAATATTGTTACAGTATTCATCCTAGCGATGACAAAGCTTGGTCGACGTAGAACTGTGTACACTACGACAAAGCAAAAATCTTAACTTATTAAACTTGCATGCGCCAAGTTTGTTTATGCGTTTCAGTGCCTTACAATCAGCTGTACAATTCGCACTCCCTACAGGAAACTTCGTGAAATATTTCCGACAAACAATTAAAACTCATTAGGAGGAAGTCTATCGCTGCTTTGACTTATGAAGCAACAAAACAAAATATTTTCAAATAACCTTTGTCACGCAATATTTACGTTAGCGAGATGCGCAAATTCTCAACTGTTCAAAATGCGGGATTCCCTAACATTTTGTCTTTTCACATTATTCAATCAACAGTATCAACTCGATGTAAGATTAAGCTCACTCTTAGATGGACTGTTTGCAAATTATTTTTCTCTAAAATCACTTAGCCTTTCCCTCAAAAGTCACATGAATGTGCTCTAATTGTTTGATTTAAATTATAAATTCGAGTTAATAGGAGCTTCGCTTTTAGCCCTGGCTAAATCTATATATTAAAATTAAG